CTGATATATAATAATTAAGGGTGCGTTTTCAAACTAAACAGAGTGCTCCTACCAAAATGAATTTGCCTACATACCCTTGAGACTCTTATCTGATAGATAAAATGCACAAATAAAACAAAAGTTTTGCTATTATAGGTAAAAAGTTCTCTTGAAATTTCGAAGTGATTTTACCTGTTAATTCTGTCCATGGTCAGCCATTTTTGCGGAAGTTACACTGAAACGGAAACTCCATGAAACGAAACGTAATCACTAGAAAAAATATGGCACACATTGTGCGCATGTGCAGCAAAGTTTAAACCAATCATATTATTTGATTTTTTGCGCACGTGAATTATTTGCTTCTGAGCACTTACAAGCTTACAACAATAAACAAACCTGGCAGAGACTACCCTTAGCCTACTTCATTTTGGGGAAATTTCAGCTCAAACTCGTGACAAATGCATAATGCATACGCTGGTGTGAAGCCTTGGAGATACTAATTTTGGTAAATATGATTTATGGTATATACTTTTCTGCAGTTTGTGGGAGTTTGGGACATTAAATGTTAAAATTCAAGAAAATATGCCAATTAAACGACTGATCAATTAATATATACCAGCACTGTATATTCATCTTCAGTTTCATGTTTAGGATTTAACCGAATGTGAGTTTATAGGTGTCCTAGGGTGTATGGTCCCCCGGACCATGTATTCGGGGAGACTATATTTACTCTAACACCGGTGAACTCTCAGGGATTATATACTCCTAAAATGTTTTTACCAGTTACTTTAAGTAGTTCACTGAGGTATGGGTTCTGTGTACATTTAAGTTTGTTTCCAATTCTCAATACTCAAGGGAGGGATTGATTCCAGGAATTCGTCTTTGTGGGTGTTACTAGTATATTGCTGGAAGCTGGATACATCCTCGTGGGTTGTTGGCAGCCATAATGAATGCCCTCTTGATATATTTGTGCAATGACTTGTGCAATTAAAATGATAGCATATAATAGCTTGTCATAAATTAGTTCGAGGAAATCATTTTTAAACGTCTCTCTCGGGGGTGAAATAGCTAATTGAGAAACTCTTTTATTGTTTACCCAATTTAATTAATTACTTTTCAATCTAGGAACACTCAAGTAGATATAGACATATATGTTTGATACATTGACATGGACACCGATCGTCCCAGAGAAAGATATTATTCTGGATGCCCCACGTTCAGATGATGACTCGAAATTTCAAGAAGAAATTGTACAATTAGCAGGACGGGAATATGACGGAGAGTAACTCCGGGATTTTTACAAGATCAGGACTATTGGGAAAACTTTTTGGACAACAATCAGTGGGAATTATGGAAACAGGGCCTCGTGATGAAACTGTTGGCAAAATCTGTCGGATCGAACAAAGTCCACTCAGAATTCTGAGGGTAAGGTCAATGTTATACAATATTTGTACAATAAGGCATTTCCAGACTAGCTGAAGCTAGGTTCATCTCTATTTTGATTACCAGATGAGGAAAGAATAAAATTAAAAAGTAAAGACAAAATTGCCCTGGCCCATGCTCGACTCTTGCATAACTAAGTTGAATCACGCACATAAACTGTAGTACGTAATTTACATGATAATTGTTTATTGTATAATGGAACATCCACTAAGCATCTTGGAATTTCAAAGGTATGGCACAATATAAAATATTATCAGAACAGAAATATAGAAAATGCTTGTTGTAAAATGCTTGTCGTACACTGGTAATGTTGTTTTCTCAATATTAAACTGGTATGTAGGTTGTCATCTTTTTGCAACGATAACATGCCATTTCTTTAAAAATGTGCTTATTTTGCATGGGTTATCTGAAAGAAGGTTATTTGAGTCAAATGGCGTATTCATTTTGGCTCCATTAAAACATAGATGCTTTAACACGTTCTGTAGTCGAATGGGGATCAGGGCAGAAGAGAGGGGGAATAGTGTCACAATTGACCAATTATTTCAAAAAGTAGATGTTTGACCCCTCTCAAATAGCCAAGTGGGGCTACAAAATCAATAACTCGAAATAAAAATAAACCGTTTGCCCTTTTACCTATGATGTGAATTAGGGATGTACCAAGGGAAAGATCAATACCCGGTGATTTCAGCGGGAAGTGGCGTTTCGTTCATTGGATGAGCTGCGCGCGCACGCATAAATGTGATTATCCAATATAATTAGGGGAGGGCTATTTGAAGTAGTTTTTGGTCTCAGGCGCGACCCAGGGCTGTTGTCTTAAGGACATTTCGTTGAAAATGAGCCATTCGGCTGATAATTGGTAAGAGTTTGCGATCTTATAATGTATAACTGTTACTCAGACACATATTTTGACACGATTCTGTTGGAAATAAGCTTTGAACCGAGAGATATTCACGATTGATATGCACATTTTTGATTGTGCCATTGCTTTTCTATTGCACAACCCATGTATTGATAGAAGAAACATTAATAATACAGATTGGTTTACCTTCAATACATGGCAGACACTACATATCGGTCTATTAATACCAGTTTGTGCCTTAAATAGTTTTATATTTCCATCCACGGCCTGGAGCCCTGGGTGTGTTTGTCTCTTATGTGTATGCTTGTGCATGGACTTCTAATCACTAGCAGAATTTAACATGATGCAAACTCGACATTATAACTCATGCTGTAACATTTTGACTTCGCTGGAAAACAATAGGAATTATTTTTCTTGCCAATCAATCATGAATCACAATCAAAATTTCAGAATGATCAATCAGGCAATGATCCAAATCAAGTTATAACATTATATGATATTCAGCAAGAAGTCCGGTAGAAATACAGAATATTTAAACATCAAAGCTGAAAGTTAAAAGCTAATCTGTCAATTTTCTGTCTGCAAAAGAGCGTCCCAAGAGCGTTTACATTTGACACAATAACAGACTGAGGCCTTGAAATCTAGGATTCCCCAGGAAAATATGACGTCATACTAATTAGCATAAGGATTTCCCTATTGGGGTGGGTCGAGCCTTGTTCGAAAACACAATCCATAAATACATGCTAATTTCTAAGGAGATAGGAAGTGTATAACGTGTTTATCGATTTTTTTAAATATTTAATCAATTATCAAATTGTTTAAGTGGATAAAGTGGTCACACTTGCTTCAATTCATAGCGAAATCGACGGATAGAAACTGACCGAATTCCCGATATCCTACCCCGTATTACTGTAGGCTATAAGCACAGTGACCTACAGAGGGCGCTATCACAAACAAGTACTGGACGAACCGATAAATTCCCGGGTATTGTAACGCCCTTGGATGTACATGTTTTGCCATAAATACTTGACATTGATTAAAAGATGGCAGCGTGATCCATATGTGCTGATATTATTTTTATAATTTTCGAATTCAATATTCAGCTTCTTGCGAATCAAATCCTAAATAGTCAGTTTGGAAAAAGTATGTTTTTATTTGTACATGAGCGGAATGGTATGACTGGGTGAATTGAGGTTGTGCGACAGATAAATGAACTATATACTTGTATCATGTTTGAATAGAAACAAAAGAAAATCTTAAAGGGACAGAATCTAAAATTCGTATCCTGAATTATCACAAAATATTTTTGATTCATATGATATTAAGCTTGCACAATCAATAATATATTTTAATTACCTTCAACATGACATAAGGTCTATATTCAAAGATAGTCGCATGGTGCAAGAATATTTGCCCCTCTTCCCATGTCACTTATAAGCCATCCCGTTTCATGGCAAATAAATATCAATCATGGAATATATACAAGATCCTCAGTTATACAAATAAATCATTCATTTAATGTTAACATAGTCGTAGTAATGAATTCATACCACTCCATCGTCTCTAAGACGAAGATAATTCATTGGATTTGTGAATTGATTACCGTGCTGCTTATACTGAACATATTGACAGGGTGGTCTAAGAAACGTCTATATCTCTATTTCATAATTTTAGTCCGTGGATTACACAAACATTGTCTTTGTAGTTCGGACTTATAATTCAGTTTAGAAGATCACATTAATTCCCAACGAGCATCATGAATTTGTGCGTTATATTGTATTTTACTCGTTTAGAATATTGTTTCCGGCGCTAGACGCCACTTAAACACCGCCACATATACATGATATAAGAACCGCAACTTCTGAAGTGCAACTGGCTAAAATGGAAGATATACAGAGATCATGTTTAATGTACAGTTTCAAACAGTGTTCCCCTGATGGCGCTAAATTGAGCCTTTCAAACAGTTTCAAACAGTGTTCCCCTGATGTCCTGCTCGCACCCACTTGCTAGTTCTTCCTGACAACAAATGCTTTATTGTTCGTCCAGATTTTGTCTAAGGTTTCCCGTTTTCTTGAGAGACAGCCTTTTCTTTCAAACGTTTTTATCATAGTTCATGTAATACTTCTTGGAACCATGTGATACCCTATGCGTCCCCAAAAGAACTAGAAAAAAGGAGCTAAATGTTTCGAAAACATTGTTAGTTTTACAGTATTTCTTCTCTTGTAATTTCATGTCATGTATTTTTCTAAATTACAGAATCTTACACTTTCCATCTCATCTATACTCTCTAACAATTTGAATTGCTCGGTCAAAAGTTTAGAATTTCTCATCCAGATACACATAAACTATATACTAGGTTAATATCATGTAAAGAATTAATGTCCCGCGTCGGGAGAAAATATTTTTCAAGTCCATTTCTATTTTTATATTATATCAGAATGAATATCATAGATATTTCTTTTGGCCTACCCTATACTTTGGTCGTTATTAGAATTTAACACTATCAGGTTTACAAAGCTCTCCGGCTATTCATATATTTCAGTTTTATTGGTATACTTTACCTGATCTTTAAGAGTTCGTTAAATCATTGAACAATTAATATTGAGCGAATTGTCAAAGTACTTAATCAATGATTAGCAGTTCATATCATGGTTAAAATCGTCCTGTTTATCATTTTTGTTCATTAGAGTCGACAGATATCTCTATTAAGATATACACAACAATTCATGAACACATGGTCAAAAGATACGCCTTTTGCCCTTTTCACTTTGCACTTACGACTTGTAATTATAGGAAGTGACGTGCCTCAGCAAAATTGCGACAATATGGAGGTTGCATGCTGGATTTTGTTTGGTTATTAGTGTTAAGACGGAAACTTGACTATTACATTAAAAAGAGGCTAGGTATACTAATATGTACCTTTGGGAACACTTCAATACTTTGCTAACAATAACTAAGAGAAACGATGATGGATCGAAGAACAAAACACAAATTGCAATGTTATTAACAGATTAATAAGGTTGATTAATTAGATTGAAAGCTTTTCAGTAGGCGGAGCCTCACAACTATCACATAAATGGATCATCGTAGGTAATTAGGGATGGACAGAGTAACATGTGCTAAAATAAAATCCAAAATGACAAGCGAATTAAAGAGAGCACCTGGCCATAAAGAAAAACAAGAACTCCATTCCATTAAAGTGGCTTTGCTACAATCAGACGTTAGATCAAATATGCATACAAGTATGGAAAACACCAATCGTAACATCCCAAGACCTAATGTAAACGATGTTGACACAAGGGACCCAACAGTCACGAATGACACTGCACAAAACATTATCAAACCTGACCGGCTTCGCTTGGCTAAAGACCATTTGCAATTGCACGCCAGGTTTCATAAATATAAAG